ATCTATGGTAATACCTCGCATGGTTTTATTTACAGTTTCCTGATAAGTAAAAATATGTGTGTGTGTGTGTGTGTGTGTATTTTTGTTTATTCTGTTTTGGATATCCTCTTTTATGAAGTGCCTATTCAAGTCTTTTTGCCAGTTTTTAATTGGGTCTTTTTTGTAACTATTATGTAGAAATTTTTATGGTATTGAGTATGAGTTCTTTGTCAGATATTTATATTATAAATATCCTCTGCCAGTCCTATTACTTTTGACTGTTGTAATTGTGTCTTTTGATAAAGAGAATTCTTAATTTCAATAAAGCTTAATATATATTTTTTTATTTTATTATTTTTATGGCTATTGCTTTTGAGCTAATCATCTTTTCACTACTTTTTTCTATCTTGAGGTCCCAAAGACTTTTAAATGCAAGAATTGCAGAATAGTCTCCAGTATGTATGATTTTTTTTTTTTTATAAACCTAATAAACTTCGAGACATAGTGAACACTCATTAGTTTCTCGGGTCTTAATCAATTATTATATATAGTTGATCTCTCAGATGTAATGTGATTTATTCCTTCTTTGAATGATAAATTGAGTTCCTTATGTGTTGTCACTGTTTTTCCTTAAGAAAATTTGACATTCTAGTACTAATTCAAAGTGCTAAAACTTGGATGTACACATTTTACTGTATACAATCAAAGAAATAACAAACCGTAAAAACTTTATTAAAGAGACAACAAATACACTTTTAATACATTTCAAAGATTACGTCATATAATATTTCTCATTCGGACAAGTACAAACATAAATACATATATATATATGTATGTAAAGAATTTTCTTACACAAGGGTACTTTGGATTCTTATCTTCAAATTTAAAAATTTTATTGTGGAAAATGGGAGCTCTGGTAGCATAGTGCCTAAGGCATTTAACTGCTAACCAGAAGCCTGGTGTTTCAAACCTACCAGCCACTCCTGGGAAGGAAGATTGGGTAATCTACTTCCATAGAGATGCGCCTCAGAAACCCAAGGAGGGGTCACTATGAATTGGATTCTACTCAAGGGCAGTTGAGTTTGGGTTTTTTTGTTTTTTGTTTGTTTTTTGGTGTTATGGAAAATATAGGGCTTACATAAAAGCAAAAAAAAATATGTTACTACTACTACTACAGTCTTCAGTATGGATTTCACAACTGGACCAATAAGCAACATCATGATAAGTGGAGAAAATGTTGAAGTTGTCAAGGATTTAATTTTACTTGGATCCATAATCAACACCCATGGAAGCAGCAGTCAAGAAATCACATAATGTATTGCGTTGGACAAATCTGCTTCAAAAGACCTCTTTAAGGTGTTAAAGAGAAAAGGTGTCACTTTGAAGACAAAGGTGAGGCTGACCCAAGCCATGGTATTTTCCATCACGTCATACGCATGCATGTGAAAGCTAGACCATGAAATAAGGAATATTGAAGAAGAATTGATGGTTTTGAGTTATGATATTGGCAAAAAATATTGAATATACTTTGGATTGCTAGAAAAACAAACAAGTCTGTCTTGGATGAAGTGTAGCCAGAAAGCTCCTTAGAAATGAGGATGGCAAGAATTGCTTTGGGCATCTCGTCAGGAGGGACCAGCCCTTGAGAAGGATATCATTGCTTGGTGAAATAGAGGATTAAAGAAGATGACCCTCAACAAGATGGATTGACACAGAGGCTACCAAAATGGTCTCAAGTAGAGCAACAATTGTAAGGATGGCTCAGTGTTTTGTTCATTTGTAATAAGGTCACTATGAGTCAGAATTGACTCAATGGTACTTAACAACAACAACAACACTAATAATAATATGATTTACCCTCTAACATTTTTCTATTCTTGGTGAACTATTGTAAAGAAAATTTGATATCTTATTTTTCTTGTCTGTGCATAATTTATGAATGTCTAATACTGGGCCATTTTGTTTGTACAACATGATCCTATTATCATGGTGAAAAAAATCAACAATTCTTTAAATTATTACTTAATACCCAATCTATATCCAAATATTTTATCGATCTCAATGTTATCTTTCTGTAGGTGGTATGTTCAAATGACAATTCAAGCCAGTTATCATATTATAATTGATTTGTGAGGCTCTTAATACTCTATCTAAATGGCTAATATTACTACTTTCTAAGTTGGTAAAATGAATGCATATGAACACTCCTTATATGGAGTGTTATATTAATAGCATTATATTAATCATTGATATAACACTCCTTATATGGAGTGTTCATATGTATAACACTCCTTATACATAGTTTTACCTCACTTGTTCCTATTCCTTTTCATCCCTATTTTGTGTAATCATATTAACATGTGTGCACATATGCATACACACACATTACGTTAAGATGACACTTCAAATTGACCACCACTGTGATTATTTTATTATTATTATTAAGCTTTTCTTCATTGTTGTTGTTATTTATTGTGGAGATGATTCTAACTCACAGTGACCCCATGTGTGTAAAGTAAAACTGCTCCATAGGATTTTCAAGCATGGCCTTTTGGAAGCAGATTGCCAGGGCTGTCTTCCAAGGTGCCTCTAGGTGGGTTTGAACCAGTAGTGTTTTTGGCTAATAGTCAACTGCTTAACTCTGTGTAGCACTTAGCTTCCTAAGTTTTTCTTAGAAGTATCCAATTTAAGAGAAATTTGTTTATGTCTTTGGCCAATATGTTTTCTAGAATGTTTCAAATCATTTTGAGTACCATTGAACACTATCAAAGTTGTGTGCTTACACAAATAAATATTATAAAATTTCCAAAGCTTTATAACTCATGGGACCAGTTTTTTTATGCTGAAAATTATATATGACTTATAATACAAGATTATAATGCTGTAATTATGATATTATAATTATATATAATTATATAGAGAGTGAATAGCATTATAGACCACTAAGCTTTTCTTGCCATATATTCTTTTATGGAACATAGACATAACATTTTGTGTTCTAATCACAGTGTTTATAGGAGTTAGAATTGATTCCCAGAACTTGAGACTTTCCTCTGTTTGTTCTTTGATTACTCATATTTGTACATATTATATATGGGAAGAAAATCTATTCTGACACCTATCTTCTCCTTTTTTATCCATCCTCTATTTATACTAAAACTTAATTTTTTCTGATGGGATCTCTGATACATGTGTTTGTGTGTGCTTCATATGGAAGAATAAAATTTATACAGTATGTTATTTTATTTATTGGTTTTAAAGCTATGATTTTCCAGAAAATATACGTATTTCTTTTATTCTTCACATATTTTCTGATATAACCCTTGCATTATATTAATCATTGAATAAATTAACATAAATGCAATCTTGAATTAAATCACATATAGAAGAAAATATAATTTCATATAGAATGATCTTTTTTTTTGGTAGACTACATGTTATAAGGGAGCTCTGGTAGCGTAATGCCTAAGGCACTTGACTGCTAACCAGAAAGCTGGCAGTTCAAACCCACCAGCCACTCCTTGGAAGGAAGATGGGGCAATCTACTTCCATAGTGATACTGCCTCGGAAACCCAAGGAGGGGTCACTATGAGTCGGTTCTGACTTGACAACACATAACAACAACACATGTTATAAATACATTTCATATATTTCACCTTCATGATTCTGTTAATTGGCAAGTACATTTATACCTACAGATGAACGTTGTGCTCAAAGATGTTGAGTTTTTGAACAAAGTATCATAACTTACAACTGGATTTTGTATCCTATTTTTTTTTCTCATACTCTAGTTATCACTCTTTAAATCATTACTATTGGTGTATTTGTGATATTTTCCTTTCAATATTGCCTAAAATTCCATTGAATTCTTAAAAAATCAGTTATATATTTTTCTGTTTTACTCACTGGGAATCTTCCTGAAATATTTTAAAAACTTTTGAAAATTGAGGTTCTAGCATTATTATGGGAGCTCTGGTAGCATAGTTCCTAAGGCATTTGACTGCTAACTGGAAGACTGGAGGTTCAAACCCACCAGCGAGTCCTCAGAAGGAAGACCGGGCAATCTAATTCCGTAGAGATACTGCCTCAGAAACCCAAGGAGGGGTCACTACGAGTCAAAGTCGACTCAATGGCAGTGAGTTTGAGTGAGCATTATTATTGTCAGCTAAACATATTATCAGGAGCTCTGGTAGCATAGTACCTAAGAAACTGCTAACCAGAAAGCTTATGGTTCAAACCCACCAGCCATTCCTCGGAAGGAAGGTTGAGCAATCTATTTCCATAGTGATACTGCCTCAGAAACCCAAGGAGGGGTCGCTATGAGTCGGGTCCAACTAGACGGCACATAACAACAACAACAACAAACATATTATTAGAAGCTCTGGTGGTGTATTGGTTAAGGCATTTGGCTGCTAACCAAAAGATTAGTGGTTCAAACCCACCAGCTGCTCCATGGAAGAAAGATGTGGCAGTCTGTTTCCATAAAGATCAACAACCTTGGAAAACCAGTGGGGTCACTATGAGTTGGAATTGACTCAATGGCAATGAGTTTGGTTTTGGTTTCTGGTTTGGTAATGGTTAAAGCATTGGGCTGCTAATCAGAAGGTTGGCCATTTGAACCTACCAGCTACACTGCAGGAGAAAGATGAGGCGGTCTACTTCTGAAAAGATTTACAGCTTTGGAAACCCTACGAGGTAGTTCTACTTTATCCTTTAGTTCATTCTGAGTCGGAATCAACTCAATGGCAATGGGTTTTTTGGTTCTAAACACGTTACAAAGTTGGTTTTAAGTAGTGAGAGAATTCGAGCATACATTTTGTTACACAATAAGAGCAGAAAAAGGGTGTAAACAAGTTTTCTGGTTTATTTTCTTCCATTGAAATTAAGTGTAATTTTTCTTAGATATGCAAATTAATATAGAATATGCTACTGACATTTTAAACAAGACATGCAGAACAAATCAATATACTTAATTTCTAACTGCATATAACTTAGATGTTTATTTTTATTTTGTTTTTTAGTGGCTTTTCATGGCCTACCACTGAAAATCAAGAAAGAACCCCACAGTCCGTGTTCAGAACTTGGCTCTGCCTGCAGTCAAGAACAACCCTTTAAATTCAGCTATGGAGAAAAGTGCCTGTACAATGTCAGGTAAAGCAGCCAGATCTGTGCATAGAGGATGGTGATTCCAATTGAAACAAAAAAACCCAAGTTACTATAAAATCCCAAGTTATAATTTATGAGTTACAACTTCAGCATGTAACAGGCTAATTAGGTAATGCATTTAGCAGAACTCTGAAGAACCGTTTACCACTCGATCATACACTTTCAGAATCATTTTAAAGCAGTAATTTTTATCCAAATCATTAGTCATTTTTCTACTGCAGTGATGCATCTTGGGTTTGAAAAGAGGGTCTTACTTGGCATTAGCAGCTTTTAGAAGTTCTCATTAGAATGAATGCATTATGCACTTTAGATAGTTTGTTGAAAAATGAAACATTTGGCAGGTCTGAGCAGCACATTAGTTATCTGACAGGCTTTGCAGATGATCTATAAGATGTATTCATTCATGGACAAATGCAATAAAACTAGAATTTTATAAAGCTTAGCAGAAGCTATTATCTATTGAAAAGCCAGTTGTTCCCTTTGATGATGGTAAAGGGTGGAGCAGTAAAAGTCCATTGTTCATTTGTTGGAAAATTTGATAACATATATGTTCATTAAAAACCCTTCACAGTAAATTGCATTCTGCTACTTTTCATATTGGCCTCTAATTGCGTAAGGAGAAACTTGGCACTGTGTATTGAGCATTATTATTCTCAATCACAGCAGTAACTTAGTTCTTAAAAGGAGGCAGTTTGGAAACTTATAAAAATGATTATAAATATTTGCACTGCTTTGTAAGACATTTCAGTTCAGGTTCATAATACATTATTATCCAAAAGAGTCTTCTATTCCTTGTAAGTTTACTACGTATACTCTTTATATCCAAGATAAGATAGGATTCAAAAAGCATAAGTTTTTCAATCTCATGGCTGCTGACCAGTGCTCAGATATTCCATTACTATTCGTTCTGTAAACTTGTTTTTTATATCTGTTTTTTTTAGGAGGTTCACCAGAGCCTGAAATTATGAGGCAGCTCAGTTAAAATTGCAAAGCTTTTATTAAAAGTATATGTGTATATATATATATACACATACACACACACACACACACACACACACACACACATATATATATATATATATATTCTGGAAGCTGACTATTAAAGCATACTGAGATAATATTGGCTAATCTAATTTATTTTATAGTTTAGTTTCATTTTTGCATTTCTCCTTAAGAATATCATGTGTACAGGGCATCATTTAACATATTGAGGAATTTTTGTGCTTGCATTTCAGCATTTGATCATAAGTGTGACTTTGAAATCACTGTTTTATATTATATATTTAGCATTCATAAATTATTAGCAGTAGAGAAATTGCTTGGATGTTTTGAAGCTCCTCTTGTTGTTGTTGTTGTTTGTAGTTGTTATGTGCCATTGAGCGACCCCTCCTTGGGTTTCCGAGGCAGTATCATCACTACGGAAGTAGGATTGCCCAATCTTCCTTCTGATGGTAGCTGGTGGGTTTGAACTGCCAGCTGTCTGGTTAGCAGGAAAGTGTCTTAGCCACTATGCTACCAGAGCTCCCAAAGCTCCTCTTAGGGACCATAATTCCCACAGTGATATATGATGTATGCAAATAAATTCTAATACTATCATCACTAGGTAAACAATATAATTTCATACATTTTATGGGAAAAAATTTATATACTAGGGCTGAAGATGTCTTCTGTTCTTTCTGTTTCATTAGGAATGAAATGGGTGAAACATTTTTAAAAGAAACAGATTTTGTTGAAAATAATGGTAAAGAACATAGGTAGTCCAAATGTTTAGACTTTGTTTTAAAGTTAGAGTAGACTTACTGTTGGAGCACATGTTCCTTCATTTCTATGAAATGTTTTTGCACTTTTGATTATAATTCTTTTGAATAGATGGTACAACAGAATAAATTATAAATCAATTTAAAAATACCTGTCCTTTTTTTGAAGAAACTGTGCATTGATAAATGCCTTTCATTTAAAAAATATATATATACAGTATTTTAACCTACAAATTTTATTTTTGTTTGGAAATTTAACTAATTTTTTTTTGGGTAAAATCCTTTAAGGATTTATAAAAATCAGTTTCAAAAGCTACACATAGGAAAGCTATTTAAATTAATAATATATATTGAA